GGGTCTTTAGCAGTAGAAGGAAACGGAAGGACCCGGAGAAAACCCATGAGGTTGGACAGGCATTCCTACTCCTTGTCCAGTACAACTGGGGAATCAAAACCACGCCAGTTGACTCAATGACAGACCTTATGATACAACACGCATGCATTAACCATTCGGTCATCCAACCACCCTGTTTTCTTGGTATATATTGACCTGGTTGTGATATGTATCGTATCATGACTGCAGTGGTAATACCCAGCACTAGTAGTTTGCAAGGGATTAACAATCCCTCAAATAATAATCACTGACTTTAAAAAGAAATAATCTTAATCTATATTGTGCTAACTGCGTTTTATTTTTGATAGGTCTATTCAATTATGATATTGTCTTCCTGTGTTGATTCAATGAGTTATATCCTGAATGATGTATGAATGAATCAACTCTATGACTAGCTCGTAAATTATTTTACACTGACTAACACTGAATGTTGGATCCAGGGAATTATTATTAAAGGAAACTGAAACCATATCACAGTGATCGAGAAATTTTTTAATTTTTCTTTTGTAATTTTTAATCATTTATATTAGGTGAAATACGTGAACAGTACAAATTGAATAACAGTCATTTGTGCTAGCTTTTTACTCCATTCTCCATTTATATATTATCTACAGGCTGCAATTCTGAATGGAACATCTTGGAACTTTGCATATTTATTCCTTATACCGTAAGGTCAACAACTATTTATTTTGGTGCATGCCCCGACCCCACTTTTTTGTTATTATTTAGTCTTTGAATTTGGTAAAACAAACCCAACGCCTAGCCTTGTTTGCCTCTTGTCATATTACAGTCATTGCAGCCATTGAATATTTCAATCTCTTCAGTTTAAAAAGTACCATATCCATCAAAGCAGGAATGTGGACATACATTGCAGCGTTACCGATGCTGTTACAGATTTTTAAACAAAGATTTGATATTGAATGCATGTGAAAGAAATAAGGACTACATACACAAGATTAAACAATATCCGGGTTACAGAATTGACTCATCAGTTGTTTAAAATACAAGTGTTATATAATAATTTGTCTGGTGTGATTCAAATTAAAAATGTAGGTGAATTTAAAATTAGAATCTATGATCTCACCTAGAAATGAATTTCCTGTTGCCTTCCTTCATGAACTGAGTAAGAGGCATCGCAATAGGAAAACTGCTCAAATTCAATAAATCTGAGATGTGAGAGATCGTAATTGGGTTTGACATCCATTCAACACAAATTATGTAATTTTGGGACTTACATATGGTACAACTTTATTTCAATAAATTGTTTGCACATAATATGTGTCTTTAGCAGTGGGAGGAAACCGGAGGTCCCAGAAAAAAACCAGAGTCACCTGTCTAACCTTGTGGGTTGTCTCCGGGACCTCCCGTTTCCTCCCACTGCTAAAGACCTCTACGCGCAAGCGAATTGTTGAAATAGAATTGAACCATATGTTAGTCCCAAAATGACCTAGTTGAGTCGATTGATTGTTAAAACCCATTTCTCTCTCTCTTGTTAGATTTAACAGAAAATCATTGGGTAATTATACGGTACTGCTATCAAAGTCAAACAGTACATTTATTCCATATCACAAATAAAGAACTCAATCGATTCATTCCACTTCGATCTATAAATTCCGAGAGAGTATTTATTGACATTGATAAGATCGAGTGCATTGATTTCAATGCAATTAATTTATTGAGTTTTTTTTATCGTGTGAGTGTGATGAATGGTGTCTGCCTTTAAAGCGGAAATACAATTTTTTGTGCTTCTTTGAAGATGCTTTTGGCGGAAGATCATATTGATCCTGTTATTGGATCGTAATAAGGCGATTGAATTTGTTTTATTCAGGAATTTTTTTATTTGCTAGAGAACGATAAGAAGAGATTTTAACTTGAAGTTGGTTCTAAATGTTAGTCATTGATGGTTTGGAATTTAATACTATGGAATGAATTCTGGGTAACTGGATGCCTTTGAATTTACATTCTCCGATTGTTCTTTGAAAGATTTTGAATCCATTTCAAACTACAATATTGTGAAAGTTAAAATTTCCAAAAGGAAGATCCATCCGAAAATTGTTTGGAAATGAAATGAAATGGGGTTTAACATCCTACTGTTCTGCTCAGAACTGGGCTAATGAACACGGGCATATGCCATACAGTGTGTGCTGTGAGGGAAATTTTGCCCAGACAGCAGAACTACGGCCTACTCTTATTTAGAATTCCAACTGTCAAGGGATCTTTTACATGCACGCCAATGTGTACATGAGACCTTGGTTTTTTGTCCCATCCGAATGATTAGACAGCTTTCCTTACAAAGATTATTATAGGTGGTGCTGGTTCCTTCGTAAGTTTTGACCATATTATCTGTTCATATCATCTGTAGAGGATTCCAGCTAACTCGACCATTTTTCAATGGAGAATCCTTTTAGAGATTCAACTTTCACCATATTGTAGTTGACTGGGAATTACAAATGACAAACACAGACTTTAAATATTTGAATTTTCTGTCGTGCAAAATACAAATTCACTGACAGGTCCATCGGGGCATCTTAATTAATAAGCTCTTAATATGAGCTTTTTCCTTATGCGAATTAAATTCTAAAACAATTGTTTAAATTAGTATGAAAAAAGAAAATGGTGTTTGAAGTATATCTGTATATCTGGATATTTAGTGTAAATATTATTTGATAAAAGGGTATTTTAATCCGAAACATCATGATGATGAATGAATAAACCTAAGTCTGTTTTTGCACTGCTGCTGAGCAGGGATTTTTGAATACCGGTATCTGCAAATAGATTTCGTAGTCAGGGCGTAAATAAATGGCATGAAGCTCGACAAATCATTCTAACTGTATTGTAAATGAAATGAAATAAAATGGAGTTTAACGTCCTACTGTTCTGCTCCTATACTGGGCTAATGAAGACAGCATACGTCATACAGTGTGCTATGAGGGAAATATTGACCGGGCAGCGAATTCCAATTGCCAACAGATCTTTTACGTGCACGCCAATGTGTACACGGGACCTCGATTTTTCATCCAATCCGAACGACTAGACAGCTGTCCCTTGTCAGGCCCTCCGTCCTGCATCACTGACAAGGGGAAACCATGCCGGAAAATCTGGATGAACTTTCTCGGCCAATGCAGGGATCGAACACCCGACCTCCAGGCTAGGTAGCCAGCGTCTCACCCACTACAGACCCGGGACTGTACAGCGCAGTGGACGCTTACGGCTAGCCCCCCGGATCCATTCACTTTTTTTGAATTGTTTGTCTGTTTGTGTTTTTCTGAGTATGATGTCTTGTCCGTGTATTTGTTTTTGTGTAAATTTTGTGTGGTGCAGTACCCCTGTACTTACTATTATCCACCGTGATCCCTTAATTGTATTGTATAATATGAGCTTCATGCAAGTAGATGAAATATATTCATTTATTTATAGTTAATTTTTATTAAGATATCTATAAGGAAATACAAACAGAGACTTCATATTTCTGTGTCACTGTTAAACGTGAGGGGGTGTGTCAAGTTTATAAGCAGAGAGCCACGCCCCCTTTCTCTTTCTATCTGGACTCTTTATAGTAGCTAGTTATACTACAACCATGAGATAACTGTGTACTAACAGCCATCAGTTTACATGTGAATGAGTTGTATAGCATCTTATACTCTTGTTTTACACAGTTCTTTATCAGCTACTATAGGACAAACAGGAGGCTTAACATTTCAGAAACTGACGGAAGGTATCAGAGTGTGTGACAAATCTGATGATTTTAAACAGTTTACATGGTTCGTTGGATAAATCTTAACATTTTGTTTAAAAAAAATTTGGAATTTTTGTGAGATTATCAGTTAACTTTCTACTGTAGGATACACAGGGGGCTGAACATGTCATAAACTGACATAAGATATCAGAGTGTGTGTGTGACAAATTTAATGATTTAACACCATTTTGCATGGTCCGTTGGATAAAACGTAACATTTATTAAAATGAATTTCATATCATACTTTTTCTGATATTATCGTAACATTTCATAGATTGACGGAAGATAATTTTCTACAACAAATAATAGACTAAGAGTTAATACGGGAGACACTGGGCTTAAAATCTCACAGATTGACAGAAGATAACTTTCTATGACAAAGTAAATCTTTTAGCATAGTTTGGATTTCTCAGTTTATTCATTGGATCGTAAACTGGATTTAAAATCTCAAAGATTTACGGAAGATAACTTTCTACAACAAATTAAATCTTTTTTGCATAGTTTGGACATTGTAGTTTATTTATTGGATAGTTAATACGATAAACACTAGGATTAATATCCCAGTAATTTATCAAAGATATAGTGGTACAAATTATAGTTTATTCAAGGGATATATTAGTTTATTTATTAGTTAGTTAATACAATTAACACTGGGCTTAAAATCTCAGAGATTGGGCGATGATAAACTACTATGACAAATTTAAGTCTGGTTAATAAAAATATATAATAATTTTTTCCTGGATAAATTAAAGACAGGGGCACGTAGCCGCTTAATTTTTTGTCCCTAGTTTGGATTATATTAAAATTTATGGGAGCCAATTACTGAATTGTTGAACATAAGAGGTACTTTGGTTTACACAATCGTGGGATAAGATCAGCTAAAGATAACAGTGTTATGCAAATTTTATATTAAATGTTTTTTGAGAATATTTAAATTTATGTGCAGCATAAATTTTGGAGCTCTTTATTGATTACTCAAGTTTATGAGAACGTAATGATTTTGATTTTCTTTCTCGTAAAAAAATCTTCGTTGACGGAGTTAAAAAAGATTATAGTGTTTGAAGAAGACTATTAATAAGACGTTTGGACGTTTATTTTAAATCATGCTGTGAAGCTTATTATTAAAATTATTTTTTCATTGTGAAACTGTCTAGATCCATGTGTGGTGTAGACGAGATTTGAAATTTGATATTTTAAGTATTAGATTTTTAAGAAACATATTAACAACATTATTGTTTGGAATTTTAAAAACCCTTTTTTCCTTGCGGATTTGTAGAGTTGTATGGAAAAGATTTTGAAATTTCAGGTGGTCAAAATCTGTGTGGAAAAGATTTGGTAATAGGATTTAATATAATTTTAGTGACATTTGAGGAACGTTTTTGTGGTATTTTTATGTGAATATTTAATAAACTATATAAGTTTGAGGAGCCAAAATTTGTGTGAAAGCGATTTTGTAATAGGGTTTAACATTATTTAGGTGACATTGGAGGAATATTTTGGGGCGTGTTTTTATGGTATTTTTATTTGAAGGAACCAACATCTAAGTGAAAATGATACTGTAATAGGATTAACATTATTTAACTGATATTTGAGTAACATTTTTTGTTTTATTCTGTGGTATTTTTATGTGAATATTTTTATAGAAAACTCCCACATATTTATTGAAAGAGATACGTTGAGCCTGACGACATACCAATATCAAAACATTACTCTTGAGTAATCAAAGCCATGGTTCGTGAAAGGGGTGGTATGTTGTGTTGAATCAGTCTAATAGTGACATGTGCGTTCTAGTGTGGGCATATAGTCGAATGTTTATTATAGTGCATAGTATTTGACTGTATCTATTGAGTAAGTGATAATTGCTGTAAAATATTATGGGTATATAGCCGAAAGATTATAATTGTGCATAGTATTAACTGTGTATATCTATTCACTAATTGATAAAAAAAAACAATTTGGGGGATCTGATAATCAGAAGTGTGTTCCAGTGTAACGTCAAATGTTTATTATTGTGCATATTATCATAACTGTAACTGTATTCACTAGATGATAAAATATATTTTGGGATCTGATCCATAAGTGCATTCTGGTGTGACGCATAAAGGAGCTGTTTATTATTGTGCGTAGCATGTAACTGACTTATCATTTCAATAAATAATAATTGACTTACAAATAAATTGACATCTAATTGGAGGACTTGTTAGTGTATGGGCTAATCTATAGATTAGATCAACCAGTGCATGATTTAAAGAATCTAATCGACTTATAACTGTTACGTTTTAAAAAGGATTTACAGTTTAAACGCATAACAGAGTGTTATTTTTACTGAGTATCCATTGATGTTGACTACCTTATAGACCGAATCATCCAGTCATTGATTTAAAGAATTTGATTGACTTAATATCGTGGACTTTTGGGGGATTTGTTTTTTGTCCGAGGACTAGAACAAATTGAAGTAATCCAGTCAGTTGAACTTAGATCTTAGAGTACAATTTATATAAAGAACACAGATGATTTAGCAATTTTCTGAAATCACTTTAGAGTATAAATTGAGTTCAAGATTTTGAGTAATTTGAAAAATTCAAAGTGGTATTATAAATTTCAAGATAAGTGGTTTTACAGATTTCAAGATTTTGAGTAATTTGAAAATTGACTTCACAATACAAAAGTGTCATTACAAATTTGAAGATTTCGAGGAATCCAATTGACTTGACAATTCAAGTTCAAGTATAGTTTATTTATCATAGCTCAGCAGGATATGTGATTGTTATTTTGAGGAGTTTGATATTATTACGCTGTGTGTGTTGATATCTAGATTGTGATTATAAACTGAGGACGTGAAATTTATTACCTGGACAAAATGTTGTATTATAGGATTTTCTCATCACTAGTAGTTTTACAGGTAAGTTGTTTTATTTTCTCATGTTTTATAGATTAAATGTCTGTATTACTTTCTCAGGTATTATTTCACACCTGTATCAGAGAAGTATTACTGTCCCAGGTATTATTACTTATGGGTATCCAGGAGATAGTACATACTTTCCCTGGGTATTATTTCACACCTGTATCGGGGAGATATTACATTTTAATCTACATCTATATCAGGAATATATGATTACTTTCGCAGGTATTATTCCACACCTGTATCAGGGAGATATTATTACTTTCCCAGGTATTATTCCACATCTGTATCAGGGAGGTATTACTTTCCCGGGGTATTATTCCACCTTGAGAGAGGTATTACTCTCCCAAGTATTATTCCACAACTGTATCAGGGAGATAGTACTTTCCCAGGTATTACATTCTTAGGTATTTTTCCCCACCTGTATCAGGGAGATAGTACTTTCCCAGATATTAAATTCTGAGGTATTATTCCACATCTGTATCAGCTATGTCAGGTATACAATTATTTTGCATCAGGGAGGATGGATATTATCCCACACCTGTTATATTACTTTCCCAGGTATTCCACACCTGTGATATTACTTTCCCAGGTATTAAATCACACCTGTATTAGGGAGGTAATAAGTAGGATGTTATGATGTTATTCGTATATCATGTGTCAATATATTACGCACAACGCTACAATTATTTAGTTCGGCATTGCCGCAAAAAATGATTTAAAACTGACAAATGTGAGAAATATGTCGTGGATAATTATATATTGATCTCTATTTTGAAGTTTGTGTAATACAACTCAAAATTACCAATGTCAGTGTGTTTTCTAAGCATGTGGTACAAATCTTTCTATGGCAATCACAGCTTTCAATTTTTCTGAATAGCTATAAAGGAACATTGAATTAATATTATAGGGAATGAGCAGGAGAACAGCAACACTCCCTTAAAGGGACATTATCAGAGATTAGATAAAGAGTTGACAGTTCTCGCTATAATAGTTAAAAAAAGGCTAGTCTCGATCATTACTACTTAAGTCGGTACGATTAAAAAACAAAGTCTCAAATATCCATTTAAAAGTTTAATTATCTTTCACAAAATGTATTCTAATTCGCTAATTATCGCAGGCTACCCATGACGTCGAGAGTTGATTAAGGTCTGGATAAGTTAATTAATGTCTAATTAATAATTTAGAATTAGATAACATTTCAGGCCTAAAGAAAGACCTGCAATAGGCAGATTTAGCTCTTGCATAATGTATGTTTGAAAGAATAAAAGGGTCTTTTAACAGCCTGAAACGTTATGAAAATGAATATACCAACTTTAACATTAAGTCTATTTTTGTTCTGCTGTTGTGCGGGGATTTTTATATATCAAATAATTATACTAAAATTTTATTTCTTGGTCCAATATAAAAAAATTTATGTAAGTGATATTGACACATGAATTCAAAATACTGTATACATACCGTATATTAACAAAATGAAAAATGAATGTAATTTGCAGAGTTACCATGCGTTATCAAAAATGACTGATAGTCAAAATTTTGAAGTGGGATCAGCCCTGGTTAAACCCAATTTCATTTCATTTTTATGACTCTAATGGACTGGCTATACTGTATCTATATCATTTCCTCCAAATGTCAAAATGACAATTGTTTTAACCCAAAGAAAGGTTGTAAGACATGTAGGGTGTGGAAATGATTAACATAGAAACAGTTTATTTAATGTAGCAACGCTTACAAGATTGATTTAATAAAAGCCATTACTATTTTCTGTAAGGCCAAGACAATTTAATTTGTAGCCATCGCCGATTAAGGCATGGGCTTATAGGGGCTGCATCACAGGTGGCCTCCGCGAGCTGGATAGCCCCTTTAAAATAAAATGAAATGGGATTTAATGTCCTACTTTTCCGCATCGACTGGGCTAATGAAGACGGACATATGCCCTGCAGTGTGGTATGAGAGAAATTTTTGCCCAGAATTCCAAGCTTCAAGAGTTCTTTTCCAAACAACTAGAAGGGCCCCCTGAAAATAAATGAAGCTATAATTCATTTGTACTTTAAATTATTTATTTAGTTCAGTTAATAAATATTTGTAAAGATTTTCATAGATTCATAAAATATTACTTGTCTCTCTGGGCCTTACCCCACTTGTAGCCCAGGGGCCATCACAGCTTTCAATTTTTCTGAATAGCTATAAAGGAACATTGAATTAATATTATAGGGAATGAGCAGGAGAACAGCAACACTCCCTTAAAGGGACATTATCAGAGATTAGATAAAGAGTTGACAGTTCTCGCTATAATAGTTAAAAAAAGGCTAGTCTCGATCATTACTACTTAAGTCGGTACGATTAAAAAACAAAGTCTCAAATATCCATTTAAAAGTTTAATTATCTTTCACAAAATGTATTCTAATTCGCTAATTATCGCAGGCTACCCATGACGTCGAGAGTTGATTAAGGTCTGGATAAGTTAATTAATGTCTAATTAATAATTTAGAATTAGATAACATTTCAGGCCTAAAGAAAGACCTGCAATAGGCAGATTTAGCTCTTGCATAATGTATGTTTGAAAGAATAAAAGGGTCTTTTAACAGCCTGAAACGTTATGAAAATGAATATACCAACTTTAACATTAAGTCTATTTTTGTTCTGCTGTTGTGCGGGGATTTTTATATATCAAATAATTATACTAAAATTTTATTTCTTGGTCCAATATAAAAAAATTTATGTAAGTGATATTGACACATGAATTCAAAATACTGTATACATACCGTATATTAACAAAATGAAAAATGAATGTAATTTGCAGAGTTACCATGCGTTATCAAAAATGACTGATAGTCAAAATTTTGAAGTGGGATCAGCCCTGGTTAAACCCAATTTCATTTCATTTTTATGACTCTAATGGACTGGCTATACTGTATCTATATCATTTCCTCCAAATGTCAAAATGACAATTGTTTTAACCCAAAGAAAGGTTGTAAGACATGTAGGGTGTGGAAATGATTAACATAGAAACAGTTTATTTAATGTAGCAACGCTTACAAGATTGATTTAATAAAAGCCATTACTATTTTCTGTAAGGCCAAGACAATTTAATTTGTAGCCATCGCCGATTAAGGCATGGGCTTATAGGGGCTGCATCACAGGTGGCCTCCGCGAGCTGGATAGCCCCTTTAAAATAAAATGAAATGGGATTTAATGTCCTACTTTTCCGCATCGACTGGGCTAATGAAGACGGACATATGCCCTGCAGTGTGGTATGAGAGAAATTTTTGCCCAGAATTCCAAGCTTCAAGAGTTCTTTTCCAAACAACTAGAAGGGCCCCCTGAAAATAAATGAAGCTATAATTCATTTGTACTTTAAATTATTTATTTAGTTCAGTTAATAAATATTTGTAAAGATTTTCATAGATTCATAAAATATTACTTGTCTCTCTGGGCCTTACCCCACTTGTAGCCCAGGGGCCTACAAAATCTTAATCCAGCTGTCTTGGATTCTTTTAGGGCCTTGATACATAAATATAGCCAATGGAGTGTCGTCATTGATGATTTTATTTTTTAGTTAAAATTAACTTAACGTTTTTGAGAGCATCAACAAAGCATTTTTTGTGTTTAAATTAGTTCCTCCCCCTTCTCACCCATTCCCCAGCCCTCCCAACCATTAAAGGGACAATAACACTCTTGCTTGCTTGACAGCTCCAGAAAATAAAAAATAGCCCTATTCTAAGTACTAGATGTGTTATTAGTGTCCTACCTGTTGTGTAAATTATCCATTAAATCCTATTTTACTTGTCCAGAGGGTTCAAAAATATTTTTAAATCCAAGTCACATTTGAAAAGCTTTACGTCATGCTTTTCAAATCATTTAGTTGAATTTTTCCAATTTTTTAAATTAGGTGTGTTAAGATGAAATTTGTATCATCAATTAATTGGAATATTGTAAAATAGTACAATTTGTTGACCAGAATAAAGATTGGGACATATTATTCAGTTACAACAAGAGTGGTATTGAGCCTTTAAAAAACACTACAATCAAATAGGAAGTAAAGAAAAAATAAATTCAAATTGGTGTAGCCTAATGGATGATGTCCAGTGTTTAATGTGAGACCAGCATAATTTTATTAAGCCATTGATATTTATGTACACTGAGTTTACCTTTAAACTGACCAACATCAATTAATAATTGATATGCTGACCTTACAATATGACATTTACTTATTTAAAGCTATATTCCCTTATAAGTGACCAACATCATTTAATGATTAATGACCTCATAATATGACATTTACAAAAAAGATTATGTCCCGAACTGGGGGCCGTGATGACTCAGTGCGTAAAATGATGGTGTGCTAACATGAAGGTCTCTGGGATTGCTAACAGTGTTGGCCGGGAAAGTTCTTCAGGATTTTCCGGCATAGTTCCCCCTTGTCAGTTGTGCAGGACTGAGGGCCTGATAAGTACAGTGTCTAGTCATTCAGATGGGACAAAAAGCCCTCATAGTACACTGTATGTCTTGATTAGCCAAGTTGAAGCAGTAAAATGGGACATTAAACCCCATTTCCAGCGAGCATCAACAAATTGTGGTCAGGAATGACTGATTCCAGTGATGAGTTTCCATTACTTTCTATTATTTTTAGTACACCATCTTTTTCTGTCTAATAACATCTTTTAGTTCATAAACATTGAGATCAAAATAGAGACAAATGCACTATTCAGATAAAATCAGATTTTTCACGGTGGCAGGTCTCATTAATCCAACTTCTGGCGTGGTTCTCCCTTGTCAGTGATGCAGGACAGAGGGCCTAACAAGACAGCTGTCTAGTCGTTTGGATGGGATGAAAAACCGAGGTCCTGTGTACACATTGGCGTGCACATAAAAGATCCCTTGACAGATGGAGTTCGATATAAGAGTAGGCCATAGTGCCGCTGTACGGGCAAAATTTCTGTCATAGCACACTTTATGGCATATGCCTGTCTTCATTAGCCCAGTTCGGAGCAGAA